ACTTGCTACGTGCAATATGCAGATCGATGTTCCCGCTTTTGCTTGTATAAAATCTTTATTTCAATAATTACTTAATTCTACTTTTGTTCAATTAGTTAAAGGATTATTTCAGTTATCAATGGATTAGACCTACTGAGGATATACTTAAAAAAACATGTCAACAATAATATCTTATGGATGATAGAAAACTATAAAGGGGAAATAGCGCTAGACGGATCCAGCTGAAAATTGGACGAGAAGCTTGCCGAGCTCTGATTTATAAAACTGTTATAATAACATACATTTTTCAAAATACATACCTCAAGATATGCAAACACACAGTTGCATTGAATGCCAGATACAACCTATAAAATATGAAAATATTTAATATATATATATATATATATATAACTATACGCTCTGAAAGGGATAACAAATATCATTTACTTACTTCTTTGCTTTATTATGTGTTTAATATCGATCGATTCACTGCAGTCAATCAAGATCGTGTCACTGACACATAAAGTTTAAGCTACAACCATAAAACTTAAGAAATGATAATCGCACAAACTATCACAGTCGGTATTCCCAAGTCGATAATCGCGTATCGATAAACAATACGTGTTTGCAATTTTAATGATGTGATCCATGGTACGAAACGCATGTGCAATGCGGAATTGACAGAACGTTCGAAAATTGGTTCGATATTTTTTTACGTTTATTCCGCCGATTTCTTTATGCAGCGGAAAACGTGGAAGCGTAATCTGTGCGTGCTAATAATATACATTATTTTGATAGATACAATAAAGGAATCTACGAAAAGGGTCTTGTGATTGGCGTCAATTGCGCTTCCGCGAATTTTACTCTATGGGACATTGGAATAAATTAGAAAATACATTTTTTTTACTTTTCACGTTTCCGCTTTAGGAGAAAAGTTACATGATCGCTACCCAGACATATTTATATTTATAAACTAATACGTTTTAAATAAACTATATGATTCGTACAGATAAACAAGTGTAAAATAGTCAGCAGAACAACTGTTGAGTTATAATCTTATCAACACTCTACGTTAATTTGTTGGTTCTAAAATTCCGTCAATTGCGCTCTACTGAAATGTATTTTCTAATTTATTCTAATGTCCCATGGAGTAAAATTTGCGGAATCGCAATTGATGCTAGCCAATCGCAGTCAATCAGATCGCGTCACTGACACATAAAGTTTAAGCTACAACCATAAAGCAGAGAGCACACACTTCTGCATAACGCATAATGCGTAAGCATAAGAAAATTGATTGGTCTATTTTCTTATGCACATGTGATTATAGACCAATCAATTTTCTTATGCTTACGCATTATGCGTTATGCAAAAGTGTGTGCTCCCCGCTTTAAACTTAAGAAATCATGATAATCGCACAAACTATCACAGTCGATAATCCCAAAACATGGGACATTAGAATAAATTAGAAAATACATTTCAGTAGAACGCAATTGGCGAAATGTCTGCGATTGGACAGACTTCGTTCCGACAATTGTGCATTGCTCATACGTTCCGTATCATGAGATCGCTCCATAAGTTCGATTTATGAAGGCCGTAACTGTTGATTTAAGCCGTAATTAAACCCTAAGAAATTAATTAATCACATTTGATTATTCTTCTCACATTCGACTGTCATTGGTCAATTTCTTAGGGTTTACGGCTTAAACCAACGGTTACGACCTTTATAAATCGACCTTTAAAAACAAAAAACGATCTATTAGCGCTACATGAGCGCGGGTCCGCTCGGCCTCGACTGTCGGCCATTACTGGTAGCACGGTATACGGTATAGCCACCATCAGTTCATCGTTCCTCGTCAGCCCACAATCGCGAAGGTTTCCGATTGCGTGTGGTCGACGCCACCAAGCTGGCTCAACGTCGCAAGCACAAACGTTCGAACCAGTTCCTCGACGTCGAGACCGTCTTCTTCCTCCTCCTCGAGTCAGTTCAGTTATTGCAGCTACCAAGTGCCGCGGCGAACGCTGCATTGATACCTCGTCACCAAGCGTTTTCAAGCATGATGGAGGATAAACTCAACCAACTTAATATGAATGTAAGTATACATTTAATTAATCTCAAAATCTCGGATACTCGCAACTCGTCGCATCGCGTAAGAATGGGTGCGTTCAGCCGATACTCCGCTAGCCTAGCAATCGTGAGCAGTCGCTCGTTTTCGCTCGTTTCCTCTCCTTTGACCCAATGGATTAAAAAGAGAGGAAACGAGCGACTGCTCACGATTGCTAGGCTAGCGAAGTATCGGCTGAACGCACCCAATATAACATATAATATACCGCATATATATATATAACTCATTTATTTTATAGGATGATGAATCTACGTCTGACGTAGACGTGAATATGGAGAATAAGGATAAGGATAAGGAAGAAATGAAGCGACTACAAAAAGAAAATGCGAAATTGCGGCGACAACTCGCCGCAATTAAATCGCCATCGCCACTATCAGAGCTGTTAGTGAGAAACGCACAGGCACCATCAACAACACCGGCACCACCGGCGGCACCGACACCGGCACAGCTACCAGCAACGCCAGCCACATCAAGAAACTCCTGTCTTCCTCCAGAAAAACGTAAATACAATTAATCTATTAAAATACAGTTATGGTATTTAATCTTTTAGCATTTTGAATTGAGCCGGGTTTGCTCATTCCGAGAGCGATTATTGACGT